ACACACACACACCATAAATTTCCGTAGTTCTGGTGAAAACCCTCCCTGGCTTCCTTGCCCCATAGTGAGGAAGGCTAATTGAGATTCTTCAAGGGAAATCCCTTTTCTTTTCCTTGGTAGCCAGGGAAAGACTCATTAAGCATTCTGTACTCCATTCTTTAGCAGACCCTGACTTTGCTCAGCCCAAATGCTGAAGCCCAGGGAGTGATGTCTGCGGATTCCATTAAGCACGTACTTCGGGCCTCCCTTCTTCAGTGTGGGAAAAGATCCTTGCTTGTTCCTTGGATGAAAGTCAGAAGGCAGCCAGGAGAGGTGACCTGGCATGAATCTTGCCTTTTTACTGGCTGAATGATTCCATTCTTGAGATACTGATACTACCTGTAGAACTTACAGGCTGCAATCTCCTAGGATTCTATATTGTTCCCCACAGCTTTGGGAGAGGGGGTGAGAAGGCACCTCTAAACAATCTTCCCTACCTGCTGATGATGACTTTTTCCTAGTAAAACAAGCTATGGCACCCGTGCTGCACGGTGTCTTCACTTTGGAATACCTCTTTCAAGGGGATTCCTTCTGTAGCAAGCCTAGCTGTAGTTCCCTGCCTGTGCCCTCAACTGTGCTGGCCAGGGATGATGTGGGGAGGGCTACAAAGGAAAAGGGCAAGGCAAGGCACAAGGCAAGGAGGGCCATGACTTTCCCCCTTTTCATTATGTGTAGCAACTGAGCTGTCCTGTTTCTGTTTTGTAATGGGTTCTTCTMTGGCAAGTTGACCTTTTGGTTGAATAGGTCAAACTCCCACGGAGTGCTAATCCTCAGCCTTCCTCAGGGGTGTGCATCCCTGGAGGTGAGGAGCCCTGGCCAGGAATATGACTGGGCGTGTGTGGTAGATTTCTGAAAGAGGATTGTCTTTTATTGCATAGAATTAATTCACAAAGACCACCGTGTGAGATTATGCCGAAGAATCCAGATTGGGACATTTTTTTAGGTGTGTGTGTGGGGGGTAATTTACAATTTACTAATTTACAATTGACATTGTTCGGTGGGGGTAAAACTAATTTTTTCAGACATGTGTTTTAGACTATGGTTTCCTTATGTGTCTTCTATTTTTTAATGAGAATAAGACCACATGCATGGTCCTATAATTTCATCAGATCATTTGGGGGTTTCTGAAAGAGATGGTCAGGTCAGGATTTGCTTAGCTGATTTTTTTAAATTTAAAAAATAATACTTCTCCCTATATATTTCTTCCATTTAAAGTATCTTAAAATCTCGGCTTTTTTGTTTTCAACTCTTCTAAAACATGAGAAAGTAGGATTGTGGTGCTTGTTAATGACAGTAACAAAGTGTACCTACTTTTGTTTTAAATGGCTTTTTCTGTTGGACTATTTATTGGGTTTTATAACACTAGTTACTTTATGGTAAGTAGCTAAGAGATTTTTTAACATCAGATTGGCACTCAGAAAATCTTAAAAGATTTTTAAGTTATATTATTATGGTTTTATTTTTTTTTCTTGTGACAATCTTTATAAGATCTTCAAAGTACACAGCTTTCATGCCTCACTGTCTGGAGTTAGTGACATAATCTTCATAGACAAGGGATGGCTCGTTCCATTTATTTATCAATGTGCATGTGTGTGTGCACACGCACACATGTATGTGTAGATGTATGTGTTTGGCTTAGTGTTCTTTAAATTTCAAAAGATTAGCTTTTAGTTGAAGAAACAAATGAAATATGTCAGATGAAACTCTTACTGTTCAGCAATAATGAGTATAACTTGAGCCTGGCATGGTGGTGGAAGCCTGTAATATCAGTGATTCATGAGGCTGAAGCAGAAGGATCACAAGTTCAAGGCCAGCCTCAGCAACTTAGTAGGACCTTGTCTCAAAATAAAATATAAAATGAACTGGTCAATGTAATTCAGTGAAAAAGAGTCCCTGGGTTCAACATCCACAGTACCAAAATAATGATGATGATAATGATGATGATGATAATAATGGTGATGATGTTATAGGGGGGAAGAAGGGAGTGGGGGTTTAGAAAATGTCAACTTCTAAAATAGAGAAATCTGAGAGCAATTCATAAGCCATGTTATTTTTCTGAAGATGATGGACCTCATTGAGGAAATGCTCTTTAGTCCTTCTTTGAGCATTAATGATACTCTATAAACACAATGAGATTAACAAAAAAACAAAATAACTATGTTCACAGTATTCCTGAATTGTCAGTGTCTCAATTCTCAAAATGCCAAATGTGATAGAATAAGTGCAAGATAAGAAGTCTGTATTTAACATCTATTCAGTTACCAATAATGCTAGAGTTAAAGCAGGGCTTCTACCAGGGGCATAATGGGCCCCTGTTTAACATATTTATGTTGGTTGTAAAATTAGGAAGTGTCATTACAGACCCACATCACCTGCATAAGTGTAAAACATATAAATCAAGAGAAGTTCCAGTGCCATAAAACTGCCATTGAATAGAATAGCATGAAACTACTTACAAGATACTTGTATATTGTGCTAGCATGTATGAGGATGCACTCTCAGGTTTCTGGAGGATTTGAAGAACAAAGAATAACTGTGCAGGTAGGACTCATGGACCTACGACCTGAAGAAGACATTTATTTAGAGAGCAGCCTAAACAGCCTAACAGGGGAAAGGCAGGAAAAGAAAGGCCAGAGATAGCCAGGCTTGAATAACCTCTGCCTGTTATTCAAGACAACTGTTTCTGGGCTTCTACAAAGCGTTTTAGTTGCCATCTGTTATTACTGGAGCTTTCCTCATGGGCCTTCTAACAAATAATGCTCCTTTACATTTCCTGAGGTTTTAGGGTCCCCTGTATGTTAGTGGCCCTTGCTTTCTTGGCCCCCCTCTTAATCCAGTTCTTCATAGAACAGTTCATGTTCTGTAAAGTTAGTCTATTCTTTTTTAATGAGGTGCAATGGTTTATTTTGAACTTTGTAATTGAAAGCCTTGAAGTGCCCCCCAAATTATGAACTATTAATAAGGATCTTTCTGAATCCTAATTACTGCCTCTGAAAGAAAGTGGACACTTTAGAAATTTTTCGACTCCCCTCTTCTCCCTCCCCAAAGCCACCCACCCCCATAATCTTAAAAAAAAAAAAGGCTGCAGATTTTATTCATGTGGGATCATTCACACCAAGCTACCATAATGTGCAATTAACACTCTAGAAACTGAAAACAGTATTCAGCAAGACAGCTGCATTATCAAAAATGCCAAAGGAGTTTTGAAGGGAGTAATGTGCATGTTAGAATAGAAAATTAATCAGAAACGCATGCACACAGACACACAGACACACACACACACATACACACACACACAGTAGTGCTGTCTTAAATATATCTGAATATTAAAAATTTTTAAGTCCTATGTCCATACTTACAATAAAGATTAATTTCAGGATGAAAAACTGAATTTTTTTCTGTTTTAAAATTATTAGTTGTATGTTTTACTCCTGAAGCTAATGAGGATGTTAGAGTAGAAATCTCCCGGATCCCTTCCAGCTGGAATTTTTTAAAATAATAATCACTCTTCAATTATATTTTATAAATTTTCCCATTGAAAAAATATCCCTTTTATTTTTCTCTTGCCAGTAATAATGATACTTAACACTCAAGCTATTTTCAAAGTGCTTTTCAGACATTGCAAACACTGACTCTCAATTGCAGGGGTAAACTCCCTACTTTTGCACAGCACAATAATCGTAAGTGCATTTATAGCATAATCCCTACTAAGCTACGGATACGACCGACTGACTTAGTAACTGAAATGAAACAGGATTCTCCCAGCAGCATTTTGCTGAAATTTTCTTGTTAACTAGCTGAAAGTGTTTTTAACCATAAGAAAGCAGGGGATTTTGATTTCTATTTTCAATTAGTGGTATCTAGGCTCAAAGAAGCAGAGGTTTATGATAAAGTTTTCAAGAAAAGCAGGACACAAAGAATTCACTTGTTGGACATATAGATCTGAACATTTCCTTTTATAACTGAGAGCAGAGTTTTAGATTTTTATGATGCTTAAGAACAACAAACAGTCACAAAAGTAAACAAACAACGTCCCCTCCAAAAAGAAAGAAAGAAAGAAAGAAAGAAAGAAAGAAAGAAAGAAAGAAAGAAAGAAAGAAAGAAAGAAAGAAAGAAAAAATCTATCTAGTAAAAGAGGTTTAAAAGCACATTGTCAATCCATGTTAAAAAAATTTGGAAAAGGAGGACCTGTAATTATGAATTCCACAAATAGAATTCTTTAGCCCACTTTTGTTTAAGACTGTGGGGCCTCCTGAAGTGGCAGGTGCCTTCATGCAAAGTTTGTGGGCCATGTCTTGAAGAGGGCCGACCCCATGCTAATATTAGAACAGTAGTATTTGGGAACTGCTAGTCAGGGGTCCAGATGAACTACTCGTCAACCCTGCAGAACAGTTACATGTAAACATTTGGTAAATATGAATTTCAGCCATCTTAGTCCTAGTTCAAAATGTCATTCATGTTAATCTCTTATCTGATATTTTTTTTGTATCAAATTGTGATAAAGTCATTTCATTAGAAAATACAAGGAATGCCCTGTTTGGTATTCCTAACCCAGAGGACACAAAATGTTTATGTATGGGGGGGCAGTCAAAAGGTGTTTAAAAAATATTAATACCTTTATTTTAAAGGAATATGAACATTCATATGTTTTTACACCAGTGTCAGAAAAACAATACAAAAGAAAATTATTTATTTATTTATTTTTATGTTTTGTCTCTAGATGTTGCTATTCAACCTAAGCTATGCATATGTCCAAACAACTCATAACGAAAGTTAATAGTAGGTAGTGTTTCTTTCAGATGTCATTGATATTGTAACTAGATGGTGATGCAATTGGAGAGAAATTAAGCTGCAGGCATGAAATCAGAGCTCCAACTTAATTATTTTCTTCCTTTTCTTTCTTTTTTTCCTTTTCTTTTTTTCTTTCTTTCTTTTTTTTTTTTTTTTTTTTTAAGTTATAGGTGCACAACGAAGGAGAAGCCCCAGCGCACTAGCCATTGAAGTATTTGAAGCACATTTGGGAAGTCACATTTTGCAGGTACCTGTAAAATAAAAAGAAGCTTGCTTATATTTTACAAAAAAAATAATAATAATAATCATAGATTGACTTTTATATTTTGGTAAATTTTTGAAATTTCAAATATGTATTTGTTGTTATTTTATCTTGGAACTCTGAAATTCTTATGAATTTTTTTTCTCCTTTTTAGAAAGTCATCCATTGAGAGAATATTAATGAGAAAGGGAGGGCAAGTATTACTTGTGCTGTAATCATTTAGATGGGTTGCTCTATTTAGTCAATGTGCAATGTATAGTTAACTGGCTGTTCTCAGAGTGATTGTGCGTATGTTGTGTTTGTAAGTGGATATATGTGTGTGTCTTTGGAGCTATATATTGTTTTTGAAGAGCAAAGTTTTGTTGTAAAAGTACTGTGACATTTTTATGTGTTGCCAAACTTCAGTTCTTTGCTTGAGTTTGTATTTGTTAAGTGCTTCTAATATTAATGTTTGTCTCTCCAAATTAGAAAATTTCTTAGGGTGACATTTTTTGAAATCTATTTTTAAGTAAAGAAGACTAGTAATAATTGATTTTTTCCCCAGTGAATTTCCTAACAAATAAATATGTAGGTTACTAGGATGAAGCTATAGTTATTTAACCCTAGAGGAGACTCATTCCCAGCTCAACATCTCACTTATTCAAAAATTTTTTCTTAACACTAAGCCATCTATTCAATACTTTTGCGTTCATGCACGGGCAATTATTCTACATTATTCTTGCTTCCAGGATAAATGTTGCCATAACCAAATTTTTTTTTTAATTGTGAAAGATATTTTTACCTGGAACTTGAGAAGCAGACATGTTTGGGATATTTAGGCAAGTTGCTATATTTTTAAAAAGGTTGCATTTTTCTTAGATAAACTTTGTGGCAAAATAAAAGTAAATTCCAGATTCCTGTCTATCTGGAGTTAAAAAATTACCTCAATGGTGCTTTCATTTTCTAGAGATTCAAAAGTAGTATTGAATCTAGCACATTATTCCCTAAATTATGTATACTACAAACCTCCTCCTAGTTCTCCCTGAAAAAGTAAGGTAATTCATGGTTCAATCCCAGGATTTTTTCAGAKCAGTTCTTTTGCTGGTAGTTTCAGAATCACTGGACCCTTGCTGAAAGGGTGTGTTCATGGGCCTCAACCTGGGTCTACTGAATCAGAGATATAGGATCAGGACCAGGAATTTATCATTTTCAATAACCTTCTGAGATAATTTTAATGTTGTTAAGATCTGGGAAATTAAAATTCACATTTGGAAACATGAGGACTTGAGAATTCTGTCTTCATTTATTCTGTATTTCTCATTTTTTCCATTAATACATGTTAATATCTCGGAACTGATATTTCTGTAAACCCACTTTAAGAGATGCTATTCCATTGTGTACATACAGTTTCAAGTTACCTTGGCAGTAACCCAGGATTAGTGTTAAGGGTACAGAAAGGATTATATTTCTTTCCAGATTTTATTTTATTTTATTTTATTTTGAGAGAGAGAGAGAGAGAGAGAGAGAGAATTTTTTTAATATTTATTTTTTTTTAGTCAGTGGACGCAACATCTTTATTTTATTTTTATGTGTTGCTGAGATTCGAACCCAGCGCCCCGTGCATGCCAGGCGAGCGCACTACCGCTTGAGCCACGTCCCCAGCCCCAGATTTTAAAATTTTTATATCCTTCTTTCCTGTATATACTTTGTTCAGAATCTCCATTATAAGTTTTGTGTGAGCCATGACATATATTATTGGATTGTGATGTTATTCAGGATTACTTCTGTTTATACTCTTAAGCAATCAGTGCTTAAGAATGAATCAATGAAAAAAAAAAGTTTCAAAGAATGGCCCTAGATGAGCATTATCTTCTAATTTTATTCTGGAAATCAAGATTCCAAAATCCTATGGGAGAGTGACTTAGGAATTGCAAAAATTAAAAACCAATATAGAACTTTAGAGTTTGAATCAAATATAACTCAGCATAAAAATATAGATTGGCTCTCTCTCAAGTGCCCATTCAACATTAAGCTTCTTTGAGAGAGAGGATCTAATAGGAGGCTGCCTTCTCTTCTCCACACTGAGTGGCCACACTCTATTCAGACACTACATTTTAAGAGAAATCTAGACCTCTGGATGTCATTTGGAAGAAAATAACCAGTCTAGCAAGTGAACTAGAAATCATGTTACATGAAGAATAACAAAGAACCTGGGGAAGTTTAGTTTGGAACACACATGACTTAAAAGGACATGAATGCCTATTCTATATATTTGAAGACCTCATTAAAAAAATAGATGGTTTCAGTTTGACTTCAGAGTAAAGAAAAAAGGATAGAGGGTGGGGTGGTGGTGGTAGGTGGTGTACAACTGAAGAAAAAAAGAGAAATCACACCCAAATACATATGTGGGGTATGTTCAAAGCTGTTGACTTTAAAATGGAAGTGGTTTCATAGATATGCTGACAAGAAATTCAAGCAATAATCTTGAAATTTCCATAGAGACTAGTACTTTTTCTTATCATTTGATTTTTAATATTAATGGTAATGGAGTAGAAGAACTACATAATCTGTATGGAACTATACCATTTTATTCTCTTAAGTAAAAATATTGTGGGCAAGATGGGGTTGGGAGGTAGTATTATCAGGAAGAGCATCCTTTAGGTTATGTAATTAGTTGCCTTGCCTAATTATCAGGGAAATCCTTGAGCCTGTAGATTCCATGTCTATGGCATCTTCAACAATATCTCAAGGTTCTGCAAGGTTAAGATGATTTCTACATCTTGTTTCAAGAGGGTCTACGGTAGAGTCTGATTGATTCCTGGCATCTTGGGATAAATTCTTCATTTCTTTTCTCCTTCCGACCCTTTCTTCTCTTTCAAATACTTTATAAAAGCTGTGTTCTCAACAAGGTGGAGGTATGGACTCTGCTCTCACAGTTTATGTCACTTACCCTCCTTCCAAAATTTCAGATACTTAGTAAGAACACAATATTCATTGTATGTGGCTGCCTTCTTTAACTACCTTGCATTCATTTGAGGAAACAGGAACCAGGAGTGAACAACGTTAAACTGGTCAAGTATGATAGGGCTTGGAGAGAGCAAAGACTCTAGAATTGAAATGTTAAAAATGACATCTCAAAGTTGTTGATGGATGAATAGGAGTTTATTAGCTGAATAAAATAGAAGAATATTCGAATCAAAGGGAGTATCAAACACAAAGGCAAGGGAACAAGAAATAGATCTTGTTGGGGGACTGTTAGTGTGTTTGATATGATGGCTGTTCCACATGTTCAGGAAGCACATAAGCCATGAAGGTGGAGAAATTACATGAACCATGTGTGACAGGCCTAGGGAGCCAACCCAGGAGGTGAGGACTTGATTCTCTAACTAGTGATGAGCCAATGGAGACGGCTTTTATGTGGGAAGTGACAAGGAAGGATTTGGTTTATTTCTGGAGTTATCAAAATACAGTGTCTAGGAAGTCTTTTGAGTTATGAGAGCCTGATATAAAGAGACCGTTTAGGAAATTGTTACAACATTTCAAGAAAGAAAGTGAAGATCTTCTCCAAGGTAGAGTTCTGTGAATGGGGCGGTATTATGAAACTGAGATAGGATCATTGGCACAAGGTCATTCAGTAGAGGGGACAGACTAGGAAATGGAAGGATTAATGATGGTCACAGGTTCTCTAGATTGGTAGCTAGCTATCCTGATCCTCTTGCCTGAGAGAAATTTAAAGGGATATTTTCTTAAATAGCCAAGTTGATATGAGGTGAGCAGTTGTAATTCTGGGTCTGATCCTCTGAAGCAGTGTTGAAGCTAGGGCTGAAAATAGGGCTTGGAAATACTAATCACTGGTGTTGAAATAAATGGCAGTTCAAATCAAGGAATGGATTGAAAACCCATGGAACTGATGTAGAGCAAAGAGAAGGTTAAGGAGCATGTGGGGGCAAGTTGTCACCTAAAATGCAAAGAGAAAAGAGAAGACAAGAAGGAATAGGACACCACAGAATTTGATTTTGTTAGGGGAAGAAATATTAATAATGTCAAGGTAGCTGAAGATAAATCTTTAATAGGGTAAATACTGAAGAGATGCCTTAAGTTTTTTCAATTGAAACAGTTGCACTGGAGTGTTAGGTGTAGAAGATAAACCTAATACATGGCAGAAGGCAAAGGAGAAGAATGTAGATGTTTGTAATAAAAGAAGTGCAGGAGATGAAATGATAGTGCCAAGGAAATATTTCGTATTTCATGCTGTGAGACTGTGTTTATATGTCTGAGATTTATGGGGCCAGGCAGTTTGTGCATATCAGAAGATAGATGGACAACGAGCTCTGTTAGCCAATTATATGCTCTTTAGCAATCCGCCTTTTTAAAATCAATATCTTGTGGTCATATCTGTATTAAGAAAGGATTGATTTTCATTATTATTAATGGCTAAACGACACACCATACTATGGATGTTTCATAATTTATTTAACCATTTTCCACTATTGGATATTTTGCTTATATCTAAAAGTTTGCATTTCTAATGCAAATACCAACTGAGAGGGTGTACATGTATAGGTGTTTCAATTAGAAGAATCTAGTCCAAATGGATTTTTAGCATAAGTTGATTAAAATTTTACTAAGTTTTATGTATTGTGCTAACTTTTCTTCTCATATCATCAAATATTCACAATGTGTACCCAGTGAGATAGGTACTGTGGTTGTGGTTATGTATGTTTTCAAATTAAGTCATCTAACACTTAGAAAACTAAAATAACTCAAATTTACATGTCTTTTTAGGTAACAGAGTAAAATTTGAACTCAGGATGCTAAAGCTAGATTGAAATACTTCCCAAGCAATGGTGAGAGCATTTTAAAAGACAGTTATTTTAAGAGTGAAAAATTAAGATAATTATAGTTGGAGTGAACAGGATTAGGAAGCTGACTGAATTTGGAGGGTGAAGGAGAGGTTAGATCAAAATACCAGTGAAGGGCTGACAGCAGCAGGTGCCACGCTTCCC